CCTAAGCAAGAGCAAGACCCCATCTCTACTAGAAAATAGAAAAATTAGATGGGTGTCATGGCGCACACCTGTTTTCCCCAGCTACTTGGTAGGCTGAGGCAGGAGGATAGCTTTAGCCCAGGAGTTTGAGGTTGCAGTGAGCTGTGATGACACCACGGCACTCTAGCTCGGGTGACAAAGCGAGACTTTATCTTAAAAAAAAGAAAAGAAAAAAAAAGGAAAAAGCTCTGAAAGGTTTTGGAGCTGTACCTGCCATGGTAGGATTCACTCAGGACACTGGAAATGCAGGGAAAAAACATCCCTGAGGCCACACGCCCACTACTGCTCCTGGCTGGCTCCCTGGGAGGGAGTGCTCAGCTCTCTCTCCAAGTGTTTGCTCTTCCAGCATCGCTCCAAACTCTTGACACGCCCTTCCTTCTGCAACCACAGTGCCCATATTCCACTGTTGTCCACAACCCCTGAGCCACCCCACATGGCTGAAGCTGCCTTAACAAAGGAAGACTATGAAACCAGGGCTGTTCCTCTAATCTCTAATCTCTCGGAGGCCACAACCCCCTCCCCAGCTGGATGTTGACAAACTGGGAGGGTGGAAGAGCATTCTCCTCCCTTCATGCACCCATCCCGTCAGCTGCCACCTCACCAGTTACCGACTGCAGCCCTGAGCACCCAGCTCCCTCCACTCTGGGGTGCACTCACCAGAAGGCTAATGTAGACCCTGGATTCCTATAGCTGGTGTGCCCCTCTCCTCACCCTCTTTTTTTTCAGCACAAGAGGAACAACCCCACACCCCAAGTTTGGTCTGCCTTAAGGCACCTCTGCCTATTGTGACTCATCGTATCCCAATAGCCCCAGGGGGGCTGTCTGCCCCTGGATGGGGAGGGGCGAGCTCCAGGGCTGCCTTGCCAGATGGCAAACTCAGAGCTGAGTCCCTGTAGGCCTAAAACTCAGACACAGAAGCACTACCAAAACCACCAGTTCTTCTGCTGCTCCTGCCCTGCCCCCATTCCATGCAAGGAGAAGGCCACCACCTGGCTGCTACTGAGGCCGAGATCAAGATGCTACTCACAGAGGACATGGCTCTTGGCCTGGCTAGGTGAGCATGCAAATCCACATGCAAATGACATGCAAATCTGGGGCTGCCCTTGGGTTTCTGGCACCATGCCACCTCTGCTGCCTGTAACTTGCCCTATTCAGGCACCTGGGTACCCGCTAGAATCTAATGGGCTAGGTAAGGGCTGAGAAAGCACTTTGGGAACTGGGGGCTTTTCCTCTTGATTGCAGCAAATGTCCCCAAGAAAACATCTTCTCCAAGATCATGTGAGTCCCAGCCTGAGACTCATACCCCCCTAAAAAAAAGCTCTCTGAACATCTGCCCTCCCCTCTCCTCATCCTCTAATAAATCCTTCACCAGCCAGTGCAGGAGATCAAACAAGTAACACGGATGGAAATCCTAAGACATGAAGAAGGTAAGGAAGGCTTGAGGTCTGCACCCCTCTGTCAATGGCTAACAGCCCATGAGGTGCTCTGGGCAGACCTACACCCTGTGTCTGGGGACTCCCAGCCTGCTGTCCAGGGGCATGCTTCTTTAGCAAGCTAGCAGGGGCCCAAACCCCTGTCCCCTTGCCCACCTCCTCCCCGTTCCTCATCCTAAGAAAACTGAGCCACTCCAGCCAGTCCCCTGGGACCTGCTCAACTTAAGCACCGCCTATGGGTCAACTGCTTACTTGCTTTTTGTTCCTAATTGAGCTCCCCATTCTGCTGCAGAAATATATTAAAGGCAGCTGGCTTTGATGCCCAGAAAAACGAAGCATCTGAAAGGTTTGTCGGGCATCACGGCAATTCCATTCTCCCTCATGTTCTTCTAGCAACCAGGGCTTCTCTGCCCACTCGCCCCCACCCCCGTATTCACTGGCCCTTCGCCTGCCTTGTCTAAGTTGTGTTTGCCATTTCAAGATTTTAAAAACACATTTCCTCAGTAACCCCCCCCTCTTTTTTTTTTTTTAATTAGACGCCGAACAGGGTGTTAGAGATTTTCTTAATGGCCTGACGAAGGCTTTTAATTTGGTCTTCTCAAGAGAGAAGAACCATGCATGAGTCCCCATCGGAGAGGTTGGGGTGGAAAATGAAAAAAAAAAAAAATCAATGCAACCCATTATTTTGGCTTTTAGAAAACAGGAATTTTAGTGCCGGGGAAGCTTGTTCTTTTACACAGTAAAAATGCAAATGCAGGCAACACAGATGCTGGCGCGCTGGATGGAACAAGGAGAGCGCCTCGCTGGGGTTCATCCGGCTGCCCAAACCTGGATTTGTTTTGGCAATAATAAGGCAGTTATTGGAGACTCGATAACCGATTATTAAAACACCTTCCCAGTTTAGTTCTGGGGAATCGGTCTTGAGCTCAGGCTTCATCAAAAAAAGATATTTTGAGAGGAATGGAAATAACAGAAGCTTAAAACGCATTCAATAACTGCTTAATTCCATCCAGAGGATGCTCCATCTCATCCTGTTTTCTTCTCCCTCTCCCTGCCTCCTCCAGCTCCTCACAGATGGACGTACAAATTATTGCAAGAGGATATTGTTTTCTGTAACAGGCTCGAACATTCACATTTACATTTTCCTTGGTGCCGCGGGGGTGACTGGCAACGGGAGAGAAAATACACCAAACCCCATCTTTCTTGCGCTCTCTCGGCAACACATCTTCCCCAAGCCGCCTCCGCCTCCCCCCTTCCAAGCCACCCCAAGCAGAACAGGCCCCCGGGACCAGCCTGGCACCTAAGACCCAATTAAGGCACCAAGGGAAAGAAAGGCCTGTCTGGCGAGGCACCCCGGCGCCCAACAGACGCTGGAGCAATGAATCGCAGGGGCACCAGGGCTCTGCAGACCTGAAGGCCACCAAGGGGCAGCCACACCTGGCACCTCCAGCCTACCCACAGGCCCAAGGCCACTGGCAACTTCCTTCTCAAGTTGGAAGAGATTTTGCCCCTCTGGCTGTCCTGTCGTCTTCTGGGCCTCTTCCACCCCCACCCCCATCTGCTCCCTCCCTATCAAATTGCTTGGGCTTCATTTATTAATGCCAGGCTCCTGGAGGGGGGAGGGGAGCCGCCTTCAGGTATTTGCTGAGAGGCCTGCTCCACTCCTGGGGAGTGGGCTGTTCTGGAAGAGGTCTCCAGAAAGGGGGGGGGGCAGTTGGGGGGGGCGTTGAGGACAAAGCTGGGCAAGAGTGTGGCAGCAGCTCTGGCCCCGTGCTTTCTCCCCAGACAAAATGGGAGAGGGGTGGGGGGTGGAGAGAGAGCTATTGAGAGAGAAAGCCGCTCCTCACCTTATGTATTTTTAATATTAATGTAATTAAAGCTGTGAGCCCAGCCAGCCTGCGGGGGCGGGCGGAGGAAAGCAGGAAGAGCCTGGGGAGAGGGAGACTGAGGGGTAGGGGGTTGAACAGGAAGCAGGCTCCTCGCTCAGCTAAGGTGGGATGAAGGGGTGTGACGCGGGGGGCAAAGGGTTAAACAACGGAGCCCAGCCTTGGTGTGTTACCCAGTGGACCCCACTGGTCTGAGAAACTCAACTACTCTGTCCACAATTCCGAGGCCACCCCTTGTCCCGCATCCTGATCGCTCAGCAAACGCCAGCAGCACCCTGGCCTTCAGTCTGGCTTTGACCCGGGTGTCTACGAATAAGGGTTACCCTCCTCCCTCCAGTCCTCCACGTATTGCGGTCGGCTCTGGCTCCGGGAAGGTGGCAGACTCCAGACCCCTGGGGCTCGGGCGGGGTAGGACTAGACCCCTCCCCAGGCGCCAATCCTCTGCTGGATTGCCCTTCCTCGTGGCCTAGGGGTCAAGAGTTGCTGCTCTACCAGGGCAACCGCCCAGAGAGGGGAAGAGGCCGCCCCTAGGGCGCGAAGGAGAAAAGTTAGAGGGCTGCACAGGTAACGCTGGGCTTGTTTGAGCGTGTGTGCTCTGCCGCGCAAGGGCGCAGAGTTCGGCCGCCTCATCTCCCGCCATCTGCGCGCCCCAGGGCACGTCCTCTGCGATAGCTGGAAGCCCGACCGCCAGCGCCAGCCTGGTTCCGACTCGGTGCCCAGGTGGCTTCGGTCGGAAATGTCTGCCCTCTTCCAACCTCCCAGTCCCAGCTACCTTGCGGATCAGGTGCGCAGCGCCCCAGCTGCAGGTCTGGACATGCCGGACACCTGGACCCACCCCTAGCAACCCCTTCTCTCCAGAAAGAGGGACACGCCCCCCAGCCCGAAGACTTGTCCCCAGGTCCAGCTGGCCAGGCGCGGAAGCGGAGAATCTCGCACCTTGGGGCGCGCTGCCCGAGGTGGCCACGGTGGCGCAGCCAAACCAGGGCTAGCGCCTGGGGCAGAGGGGTGGGGTGAAGGAGGGTGACCTCCGGGGTTTAGAGAACAAACTTGCTACCCGAGGGACCCCCAGCTGTCAGGACCCCCAGCTACTACCCCCGCCCTGCATCCGGCCAACGCGAGGATAAGCGCCAAGCAATGCGCCCGCATTCGTGCCAGGGCGGGGGTCCGGGGGTGGGGGGTCGAGAGGCGCGCGGAGGTAGCGGAGGAGTAACCGCCAGGTCCGAGGCTCGAACAAGCTAGGAGGACTCCTAGGTGAAGAGTCGCGGCCTGAAGACCCCTCGACTCGGAGGGTACTCCCGGTCCCAGCGCCACCAAGCCGCAGGAAGCGGGCAAGGGGCTGGGGGAGGGGTCTAGGGTAGAACTGCGGCCGGTTTGGAGCAGGAAGATGAGGGGCTCCTTCGCCACCACCTCTACGGGCGCACCCCAAAACGGCAGGCGCGGGTGACTGGCTGAGCGGTCCCGGGCTGACTCTCACTCGGCCCCTCTCCGAGTGCTTGCCCCACCCCTCTGCGCCCGACCCGGGGCCGTGCACAGGGGTCAGTCCCCCGGGCACTTGGAGTGCTCCGGGCACCTCTCCTCGCCTCCAGCCGCGCGCGCCCCGGCCCCGCCGCCTCCGCCGCCCAGCCGCCCGCGCAGGTCTCACCTTTGTGTAAAGAGTCCAGGAGCAGGAGGAAAGTTACCAGCCACATGCCATAAAGAGGCCCTATTCTCCGGGGAGGTGGTCCTGTGGCCGGCCGTGCGGCAGCGCCTCTCCCCCGCTCAGCGCGCTCCCAGCCGCCCGCACTCCGCGCCCCGCTCTCTCTGCTCCTCAGCCCAGCGCTCGGCGGCGGCGGCGGCTCCTCCCTCCTCGGCTCCCCGGCTCCTGTCATCCGCGGGGCTGGGCTAGGCGGCCGCTCTCCCCGCCCCCCCGCGGCACCCCGGGTGGTGATCGCGGCGAGAGCCCTGAGCCCTGACGGCCCCCAGCCCCACAAGCCCAGAGACGGGGGCGGGGCCCAGACCAGACGGGGCCCGATCTGGCTTTGCTGTCTGAGAGGCGAGGGGTCCCTGTACCCCACCGGCTTGGAGCTGTGGTCGCACACAAGCATGTGTCATACATGTGCCAAGAGCCCGCCATGCTCGGGCCAAGGGCGCCCCGTTTCTACTGGCTCAGTAACCTGGGGCATATGCTTCCTACCACTTTCAGACTCAGTTTACCCCCTGGGATGGGGGACCATGGGTGCTCTGGGTAAAATCAAGACTAGGATCTTTCCCAGCCTGGTGCTACTCCCCACCCAAAGCTCATAGCTGCATGCCCTTCTGACTTCTCCTTGCTTCTGCAAGCCTGCCTTCTGCAAAGCCCTGAGTGCAGCCGCCTCCCAGCACTCTGTCCGGATTTTCCTAGGCACTTGGCACATTGTGACTATTTACACAGTTATTTGCAGTCAACAATTTAATGTAGCTATACCTGTGTAGTTTCCTCCTTATCTGCACCTACCCACCTCCCATAGCTTTCTCGCCCAGCAGAAATTGTTTTATTCCTTATACTAGTCTGCATAAAGTTGGCACCTAAGAGAACTTGAGTGAGGCCATCTTCTCATTTACAAAAGGAATGTTGAGCACCTGCTGTGTGCCGCGCACCGTGTTAGGAACTGAAGACCCAGGCTTGGCTGAGCCAGGTCTGCTGTGACGAGCTTAAAAAAGTTGGAAAGCTCTCCTTTTGTCTTACTTCCAAAATAAGGGGCCACAGAGAATCCAGAACAGGGGTCCACGGTAGCCCTGAGAATGGACTGGAAGCCAAGACAGGCCCTTCCCTTTTGTAGGGTCCTGGAGGTCGCCTTGGACGTGCCCTGGCCGCTTGGTTCTACCTGGGCACCTGCGAGGTGTGAAGTGTGAAGGTTGGAGGGAGGTAGGGAGGCTGCTGATTAGCTCCACTTGACAGAGGAAGAAAATTTTCTTCTCCAAAATGACTGGCCTAAGTTCAAGTGGGAGAACTGGGACTCCTCATTCCCTGGTTTTGCCAAAATATCCCTTGAAATTTTAACTAAATTTTGAAAAGTGTGCATTTGCTTTTTTTAATATGTTAAAATATACATAACAGAACATGTACCATTTTAACTGTCTTAAGTGTACTATTCAGTGGCCTTAAATACATTCACAATCTTGTGCAACCATCATCATGCATCATTTCCAAAACTTTTTCATCATCCCAAACAGAAACTCTGCGCCCATTAAACAATAACTCCCCATTCCCCTCTCTTCCCCCGGCCAGTTCCTAGAACCCATCATGCTACTTTCTGTCTCTGTGCATTTGCCTATTCTAGGTACATTATATAAGTGTAATCATATAGTATTTGTCCTTTTGTGTCTGGCTTATTTCATTTAATGTTTTCAACATCCAGCCATGTTGTAGCATGTGTCAGAATTTTATTCCTTTTTATGGTTGAATAATATTCCACCTTATTTATATCCACATTTTGTTTATCCATTCATCTGCCAATGAACACTTGAGTTGCTTCCACCTTTTGGCTATTGCGAACAATGCTGCTATGAACATGGATGTACAAATATCTCTTTGTATACCTGCTTTCAATTCTTTTGAGTATATACCCAGAAGTGGAATTGCTGGATCATATGGTAATTTTATGTTTAACTTTTTGAAGAATTGCCAGGAGCATTTACTTTTTTTATATAGTACTTCAAGAGTTTAAAGGGCTCCCACCTGCAATTGCTCTGTGTAATCCTCACAATATCCTTTGAAATTTTATCAGCCCCCTTTTAAATGGGTGAGAAAATCGAGGCTTAGCTTGTTCAATGTCACTGAGTTTGTATCACAAGCAAGACTGAAACCCAGGTCTCCTAAATCAAGAGCAGCATGGCTGCCTCTATGGGACACTGCCTCCCTTGGCGGCTACAAGATGCCAAATCTCCACTCTGAAATGCTTTTTCATGAGATGTTTTGTCATTCCAAGATGGGCATAGAACAGAGACCGCAAGGGATGTTTGAGATGACCCAGCCCAATCTTCTGCTTCCCAAATGAGCAGACTGAGGCCCACAGTGGGGAAGCCACAGGCCTGCCCGAAGTCCTGCAGGGAGTGACAGAGGCCATGCATTTCCAGTCTCCTGGCTTAGCTCCCTTCCCCCACCACCATCAGCCTGCTGGGCTCATTCTTCCATCATGCCCCTTCCCTTCTAAAGGAGACAGTCATTGAGAGGAATCCAGTTATTTAAAACTAAGCCTATTGACCCAGAGCACCTGGTCAGGCCATGCCTAAAATAAACCGCTAAGTCAGACAGGATGAAAGGGGCTGCTGTCTGCTGGGGAGGCGGCGTGGAGTGGGCCTGGGGGGTTCAGCACAGCCGCTCCAGCTCCATGCCCCCCCACATGCTGGAGGTTAAAGAGGACCCTCCTTTCTCATGTACCTGAAGTACCTCTTATAACCTGAGTGTCCCTTTTATACAGATTACATGTGGAGACCTTTAAGGGACCACAACCTGTGTTACCTGAACGGTAAGGTCATTCATGGTGTCCGTGACTACAGTCTGGAGGCTTATGTGGGAATAGAGGGGGAGGACAGGTGGGGAGGGCAGGCTTGGGGACTCCTTCTAGCAAAAGGAGGCTTTATAATGTCAGGGTTAGGAGCTTGTCTTTGGAATGACAGAGAGCTGAGTTCTCAGCCCAACTCTGCCCCTTACCAGCTGTGTGCCTTGGGAAATTCTGTGTGTGCCAAGCCATAGCTGCCTTACCTGTAAAGTGGGGACAGCCCCAGCATCGACCTCAGAAAGTCATAGTGAGGGTTAAATAAGGCAAGCGCAGTGGCTGGCTCATAGCAAGTGCAGGTAAACATCGCTCACATTATTGGCTTTGCTCACAAGGACCTTGACCTGTGGGGGTTGGGAGGAAGGGACAGCTCTACTGGGAGGATGTTGGGATGACATCCTGTCCTCCATGCTGTGACAAGGCCAGAGCTAAGGAGTGGGGAATCCAGGCAAGAGGCGGCAGGAACACGGAAGTTGCACTTTGAGGCAGGAAGACCACTAACAAGAGAAGGAGCCGAAAACAGTCCTTATGCTTTTCGTATTTTCTATTTCCTAGATTTTGTTCCTCCTTAGCATTGAGGAAAATATCTTTGAAAATGACAGGTTGGCTCAGACATGTTCAGAAGCCTCCTCTTCAACAGGAATTGTGGGGTGGGGAGCTAGCGGGGCAGGGTCAGCAAGAATCCTCTTGAGGGGATACCAAGGGGAAAAAGACCCTCAGGGGAAGAGAGTTGGGAGGACTGTCCCACCCCACACCCACCTTAAACCCTGCCGTTCCCCCCACGGCTGACCTTTTGGAGGAGCTGTGCTTTATTTTGATAAAAGGGACAGTTCCTTCACAGTCCCACAGTGGATGGAAACCCTCACACCCACACACAAATATATGCATACCAAAGTGAGAACAAACACAGTTGCCCAGGCAAACATTCCCGTGTACAGGTAAACATAAACACTTAATGACAGGCACACCTGCGCTTAAATGCGATTTGAACACAATCCAAAAATTCTGCACTGGCACCTATGCATATGCTATGATCTTTTTTCTAATCCTCAAAATTTGTGGAATTCATTTCTAGTAGGGACACACCATGCGTTTAAAAGCAATGATTAGTTTTAATATTTTGTTGCATCAGAACGCTAGGTGATGTTATGGCTTTTTTTTTTGCTTTTGTGTTTGTGTTTTTTACCAACGCTGGTTGAAGCAGCTACATGAAGTCACTGGGAGGTGAGCCCTTTCCAATTCAGGTTAATCATGGATATTTAGGGGGTATTATTTTGCCATGTTGTATTAAGGCTAGAGCCATCATGAGAAATAACAGATGTTTTTATTGTTTAACTCCAACAATAAGCTTATATATTTTGAAGACTTTTCTTCAAAAACAAAGGCATATAATTATTTTAACAAAGCCTTCATATGTGCTCTGAAATTCTTTGACAATTTGAGTATAAATAGGGTTTTCATAAAAGCAATCAATACTGACAGGTCACTCTTAAAATCTTAACATTTGAGGTTATATAGCTAATTCAAGATTGACCTTGTTAATACTTGCTCATTGATTGGGGGAGGAAAAAAGCAAGGATTTGCCTGTTTTTTTTTTCAATTTGTAATTGATTTTAACATTATAGAAAGAGTCCTGGACTATAAATCAAAAATCCTAGGTTCTAGTGTCATCTCTGTCACCTTAGCCAGCTGCATGATCTTGGACAAGTCACTTTGCCTTTCTCAGTTTCTTCACCAGAGAAGTGATAGAGTTGAACTAGACTGATCACCAACGTCCCTTCCTAACACCAAGGACAAGGTGAACACAAGCAAATATGCACTCGCCCCAGTTCTACTCGACCTAAGTGTGTAACCATAAATGCATTCATGTTCTCTAATGCAGGCAAAGAAACAGGAATACAAATGTTTATGAATAGGCACAAACAAACAAGCGCGAAAACCTTACACAAAATAAACAGTTTTTTATTCAAATGCATACACGTGTATCTAAAATACTTCTGGCCGGGCGCGGTGGTTCACGCCTATAATCCTAGCACTCTGGGAGGCCGAGGCGGGAGTCAGGAGTTCAAAACCAGCCTGAGCAAGAGCGAGACCCTGTCTCTACTAGAAATAGAAAGAAATTTATTGGCCAACTAATATATATATAGAAAAAAATTAGCCTGGCATGGTGGCACATGCCTGTAGTCCCAGCTACTTGGGAGGCTGAGGCAATAGGATTGCTTGAGCCCAGGAGTTTGAGTTTGCTGTGAGCCAAGCTGACACCACGGCGCTCACTCAAGCCTGGGCAACGAAGTGAGACTCTGTCTCAAAAAAGCAAATAAATAAATAAAATGAAATAAAATACTTCTGTCTT